GGGACTGGCTGAGGTGGTTTTTGTAGGTGAATTGGAAACCCTAGGTGGTTTTGGAGGTACATATGGGGAGTGGTTTAGAATGTTGGACAGGACTCTAGATCGAGCTAATATGGGTGTGAGAGGAATAGTCTTCATGGCCGATTTTATTAGCCCTGCAGAGTGTTCAGGTAGGTCTAACAGTGAAGGCGGGGATGAAAAACAAAGGGAGGTGTCCCCATTCTCTCTTGATGGAGTGGACGTGGCATTGGGGACCCAAGACAGGTCCATGGGAGGTGGCGAGGGAGTCTTTGATGGAGGGGCAGGTGGTTGAGGAAACCCCAGCACAGGCCTGTCTACTGTAGGCTGGGGTGAGGATGGGGGCTTCAGAGGCGCTGTAGATGAAGAAGGCGTGGCTGCTTTGGAGCAGGCTGGGGATGAGGATGTTGGTGGTGGTGGTCTTGCAGCTGGTGCTGCTACTGGTGATGATGCAGCTGCTGCTGGTGATGATGCAGCTGCTTCTGATGACAGTGGAGGTGTTGAGATCCTTTGAGGCGGTGAAGGTGTTGAGATCCTTCGAGGTGGTGGTGGTGTTGGTGTTGAGATCCTTCGAGGTGGTGGAGGTGCAGAGACTTTTGGAGTTGGCTTCCTGTCATGTCAGACACTTTTTGTATTTTTTTTCATTAATTTTCTTTTGCTGACAGTACAAGCTGTTATTTGAAAAAACAATGAGAGAAAATGTGAAAATATACAGATTCATAAATAGATAATACATATATGAAGTTAAAATGAATAGTATAAAAAGTAAAAACAAAATGTAAATAGATAATGTAGATAGATAATAAAGAATAATGAAGAATAATAATGAAAATGAAGAAGGCAGTTTTAGCTTCTCTCACAACACAATCTAAGGGTTAGAGTTAAGTTTTGTTAAAGAAAATGTGCTGTTACATCTGCAGTCCTTGACATTACAAATCATCATCAATACAGGTATGTGTTTTAAAATAAAGTTAGAAAGTGCAAGTTAGCAACATGGCTACAGTCCCAGGTCACAATGTACAAGATAAAATATCGTTAACATTTAGCAGAAAATTGAGAATGTGCAAATTAAGTAAGTAATCTTTATTTCTATAGCGCCTTGCACAGACTAAAGTCACAAAGCGCTTTAAAATTGTGGGCATTTATCTCACTCCACACAGAGTGGGGTCGCCAGTACAGGAGGCACATACCAGACCTATTGTACTTGTTTAGGAAACCTACACAGACATGGGGAGAACATGCAAACTGCACTCAGGAGTTTCCTCTGAGGAGGGCGGTTCCTTTCTAAAATTTGGGAAAAGTATCTTATAGACCTTTGTTGAATGGCTAACCAGATGCTAACTTCTAGCTATTAAACATTGTGTTGCTATGGTAACGACCGGCACTGGCTCTACTCTTGGAGGTTCAGATCAAACTATCCTCATTTCAAAGGTAAACTACATAGAGAGATAGAAATAGCAAATATCAGGTCTAATATCAGGTCTAAAATAACAAAAAAGGATAGATTTACTGTCGTCTGGGAAACTGCGCTCACCTTGTAAGACTTCTGAGGACGGACTTGTCATCCTATTTTTTATTTATTTCTATTGAACCTTTATTTAACCAGGAGAACCTCATTATTTAACCAGGAGAACCTCATTGATTCCTATTGTTTCGGAAAGAGTTCTATTTATTGAATTACATATTTTTCACATCGGATGTTTGCCTTTCCACATTGCATACGAATACCAAAGTAATAACTGTTATATCAATGTATTTGAATCTGGAGAGTCTCAAACCCACAACATTAGAATTGAATGTGTTGGTTGGCAAGTAATCTGAGTAAGATAGATGCCCCTGGGCCTGGAACCCGGGGGTGGGAGCTAAGAGGAGGGTTAAAGACCTGGGGCCGTATTCCTAAAGATTCTGAGAGTCCTCTCAGAGAGCTCTTATCTTAACCTAAAAACTCCTAGCTAGGAGTCTTAGCTTAAAAGTTATTCCAGAACACTCTTAGAGAACTCTGAGCAAGGAATTGACAACAACTTTTATCTTAGTGAGGAGGCGTGGCCGACCCCGTTGCTAGGTATGAGTCATCATTTCAGACGCTGTGATTGGTTGATCCTAAAAGTTAGAACAAACATATTTTTGATGATAATAGGCAAAATAAGGGCCCTAAAATGGACAAACTCAATCATGGAATCTAATCTTAGGAGCACTGTGTTATTGTAAATAATAACCAAAAGCTATAAAGTCAGATATATCAATGGTACATAAATACTGTGAATAGTAAAGTTAGCCTTATACACCATCATCAGAGCTTGCTCAGCACCAATTTATCACACATAATACGTATATATCATGAGCACTTATAATTTTATTATATATATATATATATATATATATATATATATATTTAAATACATTAATTTAAATATTACTCTATATATACTATACATGATAAAGAAAATTATTATTATAAATATTATATGGATAAATGATGATAATGATAACGTTAGGATTAGTAAAGGCTGTGATATGTATAGACTTATAAGGAATTAAGGAAACAATATAAATATAAACATATTATACATACACTGTACAAATCAAGTACAAGGGAGCTTAAAAGTCTTATCCTCTCCCACTCCTTTTTGAGCTGGATTGTTGTTAATAAAACAAAACTGTATATTTGTACTTCTATTCTGTTGTTGTTTTGTTTGTTTTGTCCTTTTTTTTCTTGTTTGCCATGGCTCAAAATAAAGTATTCATTCATTCGTACTGAATGTGTGACAATTTAGGACCACTTTTTCCTCTCTTTCAACTTTTAACCATTTCTACTTACTTTTGTGTAACAAAGGTAAAATGGATGAGGTGTTATTGCTGACCAGCCAATGAGAAGCTGGTCACATGATTGACTTTTAAATATACCACAAACATGATTCCTGCTTGAATCTGTAGCGTTTCACTGATTCACTGTCATCCAGTGTATAGAATATTTCTCCTGTCTCCACCGTCCACCATTTTGTGCTCTTAGGGAACTTTTAAGTCGCTAAAAGTCCTCCTCTCAACTCTTAATTAAGGGATCTCCCCTTAAGAGCACTCTTAAGAGCTAGGATTTTTTAGGAATAGCTTTTATCTTAACTAGGAGCTACTCCTCACTTTTAGGGGAAATTCTAAGAGTTGGTCAAGATTCTAAGAAAATTCTTAGAATTTGGCCACTAGGAGCAACTTTTAGCACTAAGAATCTTTAGGAATACGGCCCCTGGTCGCACTGATGAGGCGGTGATGGGGAGGAGGAGGGTTGCTGCACAAATTAGAGCTTTCTTCACAATAACCAAGCTTGAATGTGATTGACGATGGCTGATGCGGTGCAGCAGCAGGGTGATGACTGAGAGCAGTAAATCTATGCACATGCGTCTCCAGTCTTCTAGTTCGCACTTCCGCTTTTAAACTGTGTAGGTTTTCTCCAGATGCTTCGGTTTTGCTCGAGTACTAAAAAAAAGTTAGAGGTGAATGAGTGTGGGTTCATGAGTACGACTGTGGGACGACTGTAGCAAACTGTCGCTGTGTAAAAATCTGTCTGGTGTTTGTGAACGATTGCTGGTGGTGGAGGGAGACAATGGCACAGACTGGTTGCCTCGCTTCTGTCAGTGTGCCCAGGGCAGCTGTGGTTAGAGTGATCGTTTATCATGTATGGAGTGAATGAAGCATGACATGTTGAGTATCTGTAAGTGTCTAGAAAAGCGATATATAAAACCTATTAATTCTTATTATTATTCTTTATTGTGTCTCATTATGGTCCTATCATAAAGTCTACCATGTCACTATCGCTGTCCAGTTCAAAACACCCGCATCACAAATATTCGTAACTTCTGCAACGCCTCGTCCATCTTTCCATCTCAAAAATGCCCTGTTTGCTGTTTTCGCCGCACAGACTTCATTACCCATAATTCCATATCTGCCGGGTCCATCTCTTTAGCACGGTTCCCGGACATCCATCAGCGTGGGGCGACAGATAACGAATTGATTCTATTGATTCGAAGGCCCACGAGCCCCAGCTGGGAAATATGAAGTGTCAAGTGCTCATTAATTTGCCGGACGAGTTGGCAAACACCGTCGACTCTTCCCATTAGGCAAAGTCCACACAAAATCGACCTTGTGCCTCTGAAAAGTTGCTTTCCAAGTGCTTAAATCTCTCTCTTCTCCATTATAATTCCATATCATTCTCGCTCGTTCAATTTCTGCCTTCCTGAAGATAAAGTGTCCTGATGATGAGAAATGCCTTAAGTGATTCTCGGCCTGTGTATTATTATTTTTCACTTATTTTGGTGCTTGCTTACATCAAAAGAGCTTTTTCTAGGTTTTTCATGTTTTAATTTTTCTCTCTCCATGTTTTGGGCCAAAGCTGAAGCTGCAGAGTCTGAGAAAGAGCATAATAATTGGGCTAAAAGATGATCGATGGTGTTTTTTTGTTGCGATGATTAATTGGAGTTTGAGACGCATTGAGCGACTATGTCAAAAAATGACTAGTTGTACTGTAGATTAAAGCAACTTTTTAGACATGAAATACAATGACAATTTACTGCAGGCCTGTATTTGCCCTGATTATAAGGTCTACTGCTTATATATAAAAAGCATTAAATGAATAAATCCAATTCTCTTCTATGACTGGAATGAACTCTCCACTTCCATATGATCCAGTATGTATTTTGGTTTGTTTAAGTTTGAATTATTTATGTTCCTTAAAAATCAAAAACATTCAAATTATAATGTTCTACTTGATCATTATTATTTTGTACGTATTTATTCATTATCAAAATGTCATTATTGCTAATAGTTTTGCGTAAACTACTATATTCTACATCAATGACACTCTTACATGAGGCCCTGTCAGCCGGGGCTTCAGGCAAAGTGTGGTTAAGTGTCTTGCTCAGAGACACAATGGCGGCAGGCTTCAGTGGGTGTAGCCTAACCTGTTGTTGTTTTATTGGAGACATTTCTGCGTTGTCATGCCAGTGGTGTTCCGCAAGGGTCGATACTGAGCCCAATTAAGTTTTTTTTTTAAACTGTGCTGAATAACAGTAGATTTTCAACATATGCTTGCATACATATAATATAATATGAATAAAAATAAAAAAATTAAATAAACCATATATCATTTTTAAAAGCCTTCGTGTTTTTTAGCATTTCTTGTTTGATTTTCTGATCTGTGTTGGTAAATTCGATGGTTTTGTACTGTCCTTTGAGGACTATTAAAGAATACATTTAAATTTGCTTTCAAGTTTTTTCTGAAACATTTTAGACCAGTGTCAGTGACCTAAACTCAGCAGGTATATGGTCTTTGGCAATAACATTTGGACATCTCTGGCTTGTGTACTCGAGCCACTGCCATGTTGGGATTGACAGTCCCCTTGTCTCCTATCGCGGCTGCACATAGTACCTCTGCACACCGCCCTCTCCTCTCTGCTGCTGGTCCCTGATGTCGCACCATCCATCGCTGTCAGCTCTTTATTTAATGCATGTAATCTAGTGTGTGACTGATGACAGGCCCTCTGTCAGGGGGCACCGCTCCACAGGGTCATTCCCTAATTCACCCGCTGTTCCGTCAAGATGTCAACCCCCCTCTGCTCCCCTCCCCTGGCTTTGCTCCTGTTACGATTATTTTAGAAGTTTTTGGTGCAATGTTTTGTAACCGTGGTCAACGACTTGTGATTTTGTTAGTTCTCAATTTATTTGGTCATTTGTCAACATAAAAAAACAACAGTTCAATTTGACGTATATTTGTATAGTTCTAAATAGTGAGCTGTAAGGATTAGTACCTACCTCTACTGTTGCTAAAAAGTAAGCTAAGTCGTTGATTCACCAACTAGAGCTCAAAGAATCAAAAAAGTTTGAACCATTGGATCGGGATGACAGTCTAGAAATGTTTATAAATGTCCTGGATCTTCACTGCCCTTAGACCCTCCTGCATCGGCAAAGAACCACTCAAAAACACAAAAATATCACCATATATAAGTTGACAATTTTGATGAAAAGGGTTAGGGTTTAACACGCACACACACACACACACACACACACACACACACAAACACACATACACACACTACAGTTTGATGTTCAATACTTTGACATTAATTTATATATTAAACGTATTTTGTTAAGAAAAAACAACCCATTCTGTATGCCATTTTTTTCAATCATCCGAGCTTTAAGACTAATGAGACATAATTTAACTTTTAAACCACAAAATATGGATCTATTTCTTAAAATCAACTTGTTCTTGGCCTCAAATGTTTGGCCTCTGTCTCTGCGTTTTCAGACAGAAATGTAAAAAAAATAATGGGATCAAACTCTCACAGCCCAAAGTGTAAAATAGTGACTCACTGGGATCCTTATTCCTATACAGGTACACAATATAACACATGAATAGAGTGCATTTTATGGTCAGGTTTGTTCTTACTAAATTTTGACCTTTCCAAGCTTTCTTTTGGAAAAAAAATGCAATTATTTAAGAAACAAAAAGTTAGATTCCCTAGCTTTAATTGCATGATGAAATACCATTGAGAATGATGTCAATCAATCAAAACAATCAGAGAGATGTCCATAAATGTTAAGTATCTTAAAGCTAAATATCACAGCGCCGGAAACTATAAAAAAAGTAAACGCAAACACCACAGATGCGGTAAAACAAACTCTCACAAATAATGGAGGAGCCAAGACAGCAATTAGCTAACGGTACTAGCTAGAAGAGAGAGTTTTGGTTGTTGCTATAGCGATAAGTCCGTCTGGGACAATATACCTGAGTCTGGAAGCTTTCCCAGAGCACTGCAGCAGAACAGAGGAAACAAAGGGGCTCATTTGGCCTTCAATAAAACTGTGGATTATGAGAGATTGTGTGTAATGCGAGACGTTTCCAACAAGATTAAACACAGTGCGACAGAAATGGGATTTAGGGACAATTCAGAAATATAGAGTTTACACAGTTATCGTCCTGTACCTGCTGTGTACCTTACATCAAATCAATGTGGTATTTCAAGTTTGTCTGCTTGTATATGCTATTAGCACTAGCACTACTACTACTGCTACGACTATATTTTTACTATTTCTACTCACTATTACTATGCTACTACTTCCACTGTCAATGAGTTACTACTATTCTATCTCAGTCCTACATTGGTTTTAAACAGCAATTTTCTGGATATTTTTATTCATTTACTTCATACACAGTGATAGTAAACAACTACTGTAGCCACAACTGCCCTGGGCCACTTCGACCACCAGCAATTCACACAAACACACCAAATTCAGTCTAGGAAATTTGAGATAAGTGTCCTGCCTGGGGACACAACAAAAACTTTGGCACTTTACAGCTGCCCCACTGTGGCACCTGGTGTTCCCAGAGGTCTCCCATCAGAGCACTTTTCAGGACCTGCCTTGCTTAGCTTCAGGGGTCTGATGGGATCATTGTTACAGCTACTATGAAGAGCTCAATATGAGTGTTGTGATACAATTCATAATTATTATTTTCTTACTAGATATTGTTAAAAAGTGGAAAATTGTTAATTGTGTTGCTACAAACCAACAAACCATGGTGAGAACACCGCCCTCTGGCAGAAACCTGTAAGGAATTGTCTCTGAGGACGGCGCTATAGGCTCTTGGGTGCAGGACAAAACTGCACCCAAGGAACCTTAACAACACATAGCACTTTAAACAAACTATTGCACTTTATAAAACATTTGCACTGAAACTATCTTTGTGACATCCTCTCTTGTTCTTGTCTTCAATGTTGTGATGTTCCTGTGTCTGCCTGTTTTTTAGATGTTTGCTGCAGAACCAACTCTAACGTGTGTGTCCTTTGTGTTGCAGGAGAGCTGTACATCGGTGGCGTGAACAAGAACATGTACAGTAATCTGCCCAAACTGATCGCGTCCCGGGACGGGTACCAGGGCTGCCTGGCCTCTGTGGACCTGAACGGGAGACTGCCCGACCTGATCGCAGACGCCCTCCATCGGGTGGGCGAGGTGAAACGAGGCTGTGACGGTCAGTTCTGATTCTCTGGACACATTAGGATTAGATTAGATTAACTCTACTCTTCTTCCTACTACTCTGAATTCATTTTTAGCCCAGACATGAGACAAGGAGACATCAGAAGGTTGCATTGTTCAATTAGAATTTATCAGCAGTTTTAAGCAAGGTCCCAGACAGCTCCAAAGTCTGGTCCATGGGCTGCAGAAGTCTAGCAAGAGTCTACATAACTCTGTGAAAGTACAGTATCTACAACTCTGCCAAAGTCTCATCGTCACATAGAAGGATGCCGCTTATATAGGCCTCAGATGCTGTTGTAAACACATAGACTTTGGAAACATGACATAGCAGAATGAACTGTATGGCTTCAATGTAAGGAACACGTAGGCCTAAAATGGCATGAACATATGGCTCATTCACAGACCAAAGTCCAATGTAAAGTTTTAGAGTACACGTGTTAGCATATTTGAAACTCCATGAAACATTGTCTAAGTTAATTAGCATGCAATAATATTAAGATATTCACACTACCTTTTCTGTTGCTAAATAGTGAACTGTTTCAGGATCAGGAACTGTCACTTCCATTGCTTAATAGTGAGCTGTAAGGATTGGGACCCATCACTTCTTTTGCTAAATAGTGAGATGTTGGGGATCATGAGCTGTCACTTCTTGTTGCTAAATAGTGAGCTATGTAGGAATAAGGACCTGCCACTTCTGTTGCTAAATAGTGAGCTGTAAGGATAAGGTTCTGTGGCTTCTGTTGCTAAATAGTGCTCTGTGTAGAGATCAGGGCCGACCTCTTTTGTAACCTCATATATCTACACCATTTACTGTTTTTTTAAATTCAGCGGCTGCGATTTCAATTATAACATCGGTCTTTATTTGTTCAAATCATAGTTTTTACCGGATCAAGTCACATCATTCCACACGTTTGCCGAGAACCAGAAAGTAAACAAACCCTGTATATAATTGAATAAAGCAGCTCATGACCAGACGCGAGGAGAATCAATCCCACGGCAAAATCTGTTTGTTAGAAAACGCTAATAACGATATTTTGTGTGCGACATGTTTTCTGCACTTTTCCACCTGCTCCGCCGACGTATAAATATTTGATTTCTGCCAAAAAAAGAATCTGTTTTTCCTCAGCCGGGTTCAAAGACGAGGACGTTACCTCCTCAGTGTTCACGCGGTTTGGATGGAATCATTTTTTTCTTATGGCACAAAAAGATAAATCCAACAGTTGATTTTGTTTGTTCCGCTCTCCCTTCGCCCTCGGACTCTTCTCTCTCGTCTCAACTCAGAATGAAACTAGATTTTTTTATCATAACATATATTTTTTATCATTATATTTAAATGATTTCAAGTTACTTTAATTTGCTCTACTCTACTCTACTCTACCCTTCTCTATTCTACTCTACCACCCTCTACCCTTCTTTACTCTATTCTTCTCTTTTTTACTCAGATCTATACTCTACTCTATTCTTCTCTACTCTACTCTACTCTACCCTATCCTACCCTATCCTACTCTACCCTACCCTCCTCTATTCTTCTCTACCCCACTCTACTCTTCTCTACCCTACCCCACTCTACTCTACTCTACTCTACTCTACTCTACTCTACTCTACTCTACCCTACTCTACTCTACTTTACCCTACCCTACTCTACCCTACTGTACTCTACTCTACCCTACTCTACTCTACCCTACCCTACTGTACTCTACCCTACCCTACTGTACTCTACTCTACCCTACTCTACCCTACTCTACCCTACCCTACCCTACTGTACTCTACCCTACCCTACTGTACTCTACCCTACCCTACTGTACTCTACTCTACTCTACTCTACTCTACCCTACTCTACCCTACCCTACCCTACTGTACTCTACCCTACCCTACTGTACTCTACTCTACTCTACTCTACTCTACTCTACTCTACTCTACTCTACTCTACTCTACACTACCCTACCGTACTCTACTCTACTCTACTCTACTCTACTCTACTCTACCCTACTCTACCCTACCCTACCCTACTCTACCCTACCCTACCCTACTCTACTCTACTCTACTCTACTCTACCCTACCCTACCCTACCCTACCCTACCCTACCCTACTCTACTCTACTCTACTCTACTCTACTCTACTCTACTCTACTCTACTCTACTCTACTCTACTCTACTCTACTCTACTCTACTCTACTCTACTCTACTCTACTCTACTCTACTCTACTCTACTCTACTATACCCAGACACAAGGACAGTGGTATTGATCCAGGACACTCAACATGTATAGATGTTGGTCTCTGTCCCTCATGGACCAACGTCTCTATGTTTTTATCATTCCATTTCCTATGTTTGATTTTCTGATCTGTGTCGGCGAATCGACAGCTTTGTAAAGTCCTCCGCGATGAAGACTGTTATCGCGTACAAGGAGAACATGCAAACTCCACACAGACATCTACAGTCTATTTAACTAGACTTGTTTTTGAAAGGTACCGTAAACTGACAATGTTAAAGTATTTTTTGTGAAAGTTGTGAAAGTTTCTGCATAGAACTTGACTCCAGGATTTGTTTAAAGATCAAACCGTGCGTCTGTTTGTTTTTCTGAGATTAGATTTTCTTCATATTTGAGCAAAATTAACTATGAATGTCATGAACAAAAGTGGCTTAAATCTGAGACACTAAACTTTATTGTTTTGATAAATAATAATGTTCTTTGTCCTCAAAACGTCTTTTAACTTTTAAAACTCTCGTAAAAGAACCTTGTGAGTCAGTATTTGACACTTTGGGCTGAGAGATGTCACTGCAGAGCTACCTGTAGGTGAAAGCCAGATCCTGTCAGACCTCTGAAGCTAAGCAAGACAGGGCCTGGTTAGTCCTGTGATGGGCGACCTCGGGGAACACCAGGTGCCACAGTGGGGGAGCTGCGGGTGTAAAGTGCCAGTATTGTTGTGTCCTTCGGCAAGACACTTCACCCACATTATAATGAATGGTGTGTGTGTGAATGGTTGGTGGTGGTGGGAGGGGCCAATGGCACAGACTGGTTGCCACGCTTCTGTCAGTGTGTCCCAGGGCAGCTGTGATGAACTACGAATATAGATTTTTTTAAATATTGATTTAGATTGTATTTTGTTTGTGAATAAACATTAACGCATAAACACATAGTGGTTCAGGACAGAAACTAAAACAACATTTGAAAATCTGTACAGAAACTTAACTAAATTGTAATATCATATTTATCACAGGGACAATTTTCATTCTCTGCTACTTCAAAACACAACAAAACCTGCAGCTAAAGTCCTCGTTGAGTCTCACAGAGCTCACCGGCTAAAAAAACATTTTGTTTTTTGGGGACAAAAAAAAGAAAGGTAAAAATATATAAATATATATATATGACAGAAGTAACAGTGCGAGGGATGAAAGGATCAGGGAAAAAAAGAATACGAAAGTGGAGAAAGAGCTGGTTCAGTGCAGTACGGAGCCGGTCAGAGCCCTGGGGGAAATCAAGGCCTGTGCTCTCTGCCGCTGGCTCACCACGAGGGGAGACGGGTGAGGAGGAGGAGAGACGGGTGAGGAAGGAGGGGGTAGGAGGGAGGAGCCAAAAAGGCCAGTGTTATACTCAACGATTAACACCATCTTTAAGGGCAAACATTTACAAAAACCATCGCGTCCAGTACACATTTTTCAATGGTCATTTAAATTTGCATTTACTTTTTTTTTTATCAAGTCATTTCCTGATATTTAGTTAATATTAATCTTGTGGGAGTTCATCTGCCGCTTTATTGACATTTTATTTTCAATGTCACAGTAGAATGATCCAATCCGTGGCTGATCTGGTTGTTTAAAATGTTGCCATAAATGTATTTGTCAATCTTTTCTTTTGATTTCATCCACTCTATCTCTTTGATATGTCTGTGTTTGAAATCCTTTTTTTCCTACCTACATTTAGTTTTTGAGCTATAACCTTTTAAAGTCCAGATACTTTAATTTACTGTGAACACACCCATAGCTCTTCTACTTTGCTCTAATATTTATGGAAGGTTTTTTCAATGACACCTTTGGGACTGTTTGGCAGGATGTGTTTTCAAAAGAGTATTTACACTTTTAACAAATCTGCCTTTTCCCAAACTGGATCCTGGCCACGTCCTTCTGTGGAGGTCAGTGGAGAGGACTGGTCAGGGATGGGGGAGGATGAGGGAGGGAGGGAGGGTCCGGTGGGGGGAGTTTATAGTCTCCAAAGGACAGAGGGCAGCAGTGTTCAGAGAGGAAACTTGAATCAGCAGTTTACAGCGACTGGTCACGACAAGAGCAAGATTTTGTGTGTAAATATATATTTGGGTCATGGAGAGAGCAGAGACAGAGGGGAGATGGTGGAACTGTGATGAACTGTGAGACACACACACCAAAGACAGACGCACACACAGAGACACACACAGAGACACACAGAAAGACAGACACAAGGAGAGACAGACACAGACAGACACACACAGAGAGACACACAGACACAGACACACACACACACAAACACACACATACAAAGAATGGAAAAAAGACCAATAATATAAAATAATATATGTACCAATAATGTCCTGTGAGTTTTAATAAAGGACCATTTTCTCTGCTCTGGTCCAAAGTAAAATGCTTACTTGTTACATGCTGAGAGACCAGAGAGAGACCATAGATAGAGACCAGAGAGAGACCAGAGAGAGAGAGAGACCAGAGAGAGACCATAGATACAGACCAGAGAGAGACCAGAGAGAGACCAGAGATAGACTAGAGCAGTGTCTCCCAAAGTGGGGTCCGCGGCCCCCTGGTGGGCCGCGAGGGTACTGCAGGGGGGCCGCGGGAGGTCATAAAAAAAATAAAAATAAAAATATAATTATTTAATGTTATATAAATTTATAATGTTTTGTTTGTAATATTAAAATATTTGTGTTCATTATTTGACTTGAATAATCCACTGTAATCATTTTTGTATTACAATGTTTGTAGCAGAGGCTATTTCCCCAAAATAAAATAACCAGAAGAGCC